ACAAAATAAACATGCTTTTTCCAAATGGATTAGACCCGAATTTGTAGGCTACTTTCACTTTTGTGTTAAGTGAGGAACGCACATGGAAAAGGAGCATAGGCTACATTTGTAACCTCGCACACAGAAATCATCTTATAGATATGAGATCCATCAGGAAAATCCACTCGCTTCATTATGCTGCCTGTTCATATAGGGCTTTTCTTTTTTGTGTGCAGAAGCCTTTCGCCGGAGATCAGGTTGCAGACAACAGCAAATCCATGAATTATTAGGTTATCGATTTATTTTTTATCAAACTATCATGTTTATTTTTCAAATCCACTGTTCACAATTGAAAGCCGAGCTCAGAAATAACTTGTATCCATCAGGCAGGCACTAATATAAAGTAGCCTAATAATACATTGAATAAATGTTAAATAAATCAAAGTAATGGAGAAGCGGACAAATCAGTCAGCAGGACACCGGGATTTTTCCTGACTGACTGACTGCGGGGCTGCAGGCTGTACACACGTCAATGCCGTTTACGTTCGGGTCCAGTCGGGTTCGAAATTAAATGCTGTCAGGTCGGACTCGGGTCTAATTTCATCGGGTCTGTCTCGGGTCGGGTTTTTCTTTAAAACATTTTTATTTATGCACGTCGATTCGGGTCGGGTACAGATTTTAGGACCCGAGAAGACCTCTAGCTCCCGCTGCATCACTGACTGCGAGTCCTCTGGTTTTCTGGGCTCGTTCTCATCCTGATTTATCAGTCATCCCATCCTCTCCAAAAGAATAAGACTGTAAACATCAGCGAGTCATTCTGTCAGACGATGCTGATTTCTTATTTCATTCACTGAAACTCACAGCCTGTCAGTTTGAGGAACTCTTCTACTACTGCAATCTGACACAATATAAGCTGTTATATATAAACATTATTACAGGGGAAAACTGCTGTAGAAAAACAAACAAACATTCATTTTCTACCTTTTCTGTCATTTTTATTCAAATTACAGCCTTAAAATCTGCATTTTTATGACCTGAACAAATAAAACAAAACTACAGCATACAAAAACATATCTATAGGTGTATATATAGCAATACATCTTTAATACTGAATCGATTCAACTAATAACACTATAACAAACTTTTTTTTTAAAGAGCTACTTGTTTAGTCTGCATAAACAAAAATAAAATAAAACTGTCACTCGAGTGCATTGTGTCTCGTCATTAGTAAAGCTACGAATCAGAAAGACTTTAAAAAGTATGTTTTTTCTGTCTCTGCATATGTTAATGTATATCCAGTATGGGCACCAGCATTTATACTTAACTAAGTATTAGGAATTTGTCAATTTAACCTTATAAACGTAACTGCTAAAATCATGTTTCAAACTTCAAATACAGAAACACTGGCAGGCAAATGCAGAATCAGCTGATGTTTCTGACCGGCTGCCAGCTCAGTGCAGTTACAGACATTGATTAACCTCGTTTGTATGAGTCACAGGTTCAGGCTCCTGGTCTCTCAGAGGCCTGCAAGCACACCGTTACACTGAACACACACCGACGGTGTGGTGTCTTTTCCCTTTGAGTTTGGCTCATGTGTTAGTGGATAGATGTGCTGCAGCCCAGCCGGTCTTCACATGTAATGCTGCTAACATCAGCCAAAAAACATAAGATCACTGAACAGAACAAAACTCAACCTCAAACTCTTCGACAAAATATGGCTGGTATATGTGTGGATATTTAATACAGTGGGCCTCATTTATAAAACGTGCGTACGCACAGATTTGATCGTAGAGTGTACGCAAAAATCCACGGCAACGTTCATATTTATAAAAATGGTCTTTGACGTGGAAAAGAGCTTAGCGCCACGTCAGGGTCGGAGCAGACGTACACTTTTGTTTGCCCAAGTGCTGCAGGTTTTTGGAAATATAAGCCTATCTGAGAGATGATCGTAAGATCAAATTTAGGATGGATTCTGCGCAACATTTTATAAATGAGGCCCAGTATGTATAAGCACAGTCTTATCTATAGTAACAGAGTTTCAAGGAATCTCTTTTAATCAGGAAACAAAAATATTTTCATCATGTTTTAAGAATAAAATGTTATATAAATCAGATGAACATTATGAAACTTTAAGAAAAATAAATGTAAAGTTTGCAACTGTATTACTGTGATGTGAGAGCTTGTCACTAAAACACTCTTTATGATAGTTTTGGTGCAGCTTTTTGTGCAACTTTATTTGAAAATATTCTTGTAGTCACATTCTATTGATACATGAAAAATGATTTCCACTAAACTAAAGTTACAATGCATTCCCACACAGGAACTAAATACTTACAGAAACTGCAGTCAGGAATAATCAATGAGCTCATGTTTCCTCGACAGACTCCAATCCTTCAGATATACACTCCATAAATGAACTTCACAGAGTTAATAAACAATGAACCAACAATGAACTGACTTTAACTGAAAAACTGTTACTATTGTCCTCTTTTCAGAGCTGCTTTACAGCAGAATTGAATTGTGTTTGCAACATTGAAACACTATTTGGTAACACTTTAGAATACTGTTCCATCGTTAATGAATAACTACACAGGAACAAATGACTAATGCACCATCCTAGTAACTACTATTAACTAACAAGAAACTAATTAACGATTAAGTAATAGCGCTCAGATGAAACTGGTAGATCATTATTAGCTAATCAATAACTGCTATTTTTCATATATCCTGGAGAACTACTGTATACATGTTCATAATTAATATTAATTATGCATAATGTATAATTAATTCTAAAATGAAGATCATGGTAACCCACTAGTAATGACTCCAATATCCTGTATTAGTATTACCAAATTATTACCAAAAGTATTACCAAATCCTTCTAAAGGAAATACTAATTACTTGGATCAGTATTCTGAAGTGAAAAGCATCATAACTCCCTAATATTGGCTGACGTCATTTTAAGCTTTTGAGATATATGAACGGTTTTAGATAGTAATGACCCAAGTGTTACTACATCCTTCTGAAGAAATTAATAATTATTTGGATCTGTATTCTAAAGTGAAGATCGCAGCAACCCACTAATGATTTAAGAGTTACGTAATCTAGCAAAATTAATTACTAACCAGGACCTTACAAAACCCTCAAAAGTTTACAATGATTTCAGTCATTACTAGAGAATTATCATGTTATTCACTTTAGAATACTGATCCAAATATTAGCAATTCCTTCTGAAGAATTTGGTAATACTTGAGTCATTACTAGTGGGTTACAATGACCTTCACTTTAGAATTAATTATACATTATTCATATTTATTACGCACCTGTATACAGTAGTTCTTAGTATTCCTTGGGTGTGTATGAAAAAATAGTAGTTACTGATTAGCTAACCGTGAACTACCACATTCCACTAAGCACTATTACTTACAAATTCATTAATCAGAGTTTCTTGTTAGATACTAGTAGAGTGCTTATATTGTGTTACTCATGTGTTCTTGTGTAGTTATTTATTAATGATGGAACAGTATTCTAAAGTATTACCCACTATTTTCCTGATTAACACTGTGATGACACAATCTGTATTGTATAAAGTGTTTGCTTTATGTGTATAACCAGGTTCATATTGAATAATTTTCAGCACAAAACCCATGTAAATGTTCCTACTGCCACTGGCTGGAAATTCAGCGATCCTGTCTTGTGTAGCGAATCAACTCATGGGGAAATATGAATAATTAACCATAACTAGTTATAATTAACTATTCATATTTTAGATCCACTGTAGATAAATGCACTACTTGGCATGCCAAATTAAGCAGCAATTTGCTGGTTTTGTGTCAGTATTCATTCATGTTTCCAAGGCCAGTGGATGAGTTACAGGGACAATCCTACAGATACGGGAGTATTTTATGATATTTTATGATCGGCGCTTATGAGCTTGAGAAAGGTCACTGCTCGCTGCCAAAGAAAGAAAGGTCAGACAGCTTTAGAGCGACACCAGGGTGAGTAAATAACCAGTGAACTGCCATTTCCAGTGATGTTCAGTAGCACATCTTTACCTGCAGCACAGCGGTTAACGGAGACACCTGACGCTCACAGGACAGATTCCTGATCCAGCAATCCTGTCAACCATATTAAAGAAATAACAGACATCCAAAGTAATGCAAATCAAAGCATGTCTTTTTCCAATAACTGAGCTGAAGTATGCAGCATTCATTCACTCCAGGCCGTCTGTGAATGTGTTCTCATAATCGTGCTGTCATTCTGATGTTAGCGGTCGCTCCTGCTGACGGTCTGGCTGTGTGACTCTGATGGTAAAATATAGCACATCAAAATGAAATCGTGCTGTTTTTGGACTAGTTGTTTATTTATAGACATGACTGTTATAACTAGAGGACAATAACAATCAACCCAAACCCCTCATCCCCCCCACCAACAGTAAAACTAAACAGTCAGCAATACAAATAAACTGATTCAAAACAGTCTGAGCGGATCCGTCTGATGAATGTCCAAAGACACATGTGTGCCCCCTCTTCTGTCCAGCACACAGCAGCACCATCCCACAATGCACTGCACATACACACAGAGCGTCATGCACGTGTGCTGCTCTCTTCACAAACATCCTCCAGCTTTCAACGGATGGAATTACGCTTCTTCTCAGCGAGTGGAGAAACGGTGAGAAATGCAGATCCTCTGGAAGCTGACAACATACCGACAGACAGAAAGTGGCAAAAGAAGTGAAGCAAAGCAAAAGGACCATGCAATGGCTGACTGGAGCAGCTCCACCCGACGGTCTGTGCTGTGATTGGCCAATGCATCCGCCAGTCAGAGATCTTAGTGATTTATGATATGTGAAATATTGCAATCCATTTCCAGTGATGATGATCCATAGGCCAGATACACTCTCTCTGTCACACACACACACACCACACCACACCACACACACACACACACACACACACACCACACCACACACTCTCACTCACAAACACACACACACACACACACACACACACACACACACACACACACTCTCTCACTCACAAACACACACACACACACACACACACACACACTCTCCTGGCTCTCTCTGTTTATCTGAGTGTTCTCTGGATGCTTGTCCAGTGTGTTGTATTGTCCTGATGTGTGTGTGTGTGTGTGTGTGTGTGTCAGTGTCAGCATGTGTTTCTGTGTTGCGTCTCATCTTCACTCTACTCTTCCTCTTCCTCCTCCTCCTCACTGATGGGAAGCACCTCCTCCTGCAGGCAGGATCTGAAGTAGCTGCTCAGTGTTGAAGCCACGTGCCGCTGGCTGCTCTTGGACAAGAAATGACCTTCGTCTGGATAAATCTGAAGAACAACCATCCAGAAAACCATCAACAAACAAGACTACAGTCAAGCATTGATAAACAAAGCCACACTGATGCTGAAACACACGTCCATCTTCAGTGTTCAGTACCTGCAGTGTGTAATTCGCTCCCACCTTCACCAGGTTCTTAATGAGCTCGGCCGTGTGCTGGAAGTGAACATTTGCTGCAGGAAACAGAATTTGAGTGTTTGAAGACTGGCTCAGGAACAGAGTAATGTGATCAAATGATCTGCTATGAGAGGTCGTTTCTATTGTGAATATAGCGGCTTCACCTCAAGTATCCAAAAATAGTTACAAGAGAAACAAGCAAGAACACATATATTCTACACACACACACACACACGCACATTCACACACACACACGCACAGCACACTCACACACACGCACAACACACAAACACACACTCACACACAACACACAAACACACACTCACACACACACACACACACACAAACACACACACTCACTCACACACTCACACACACGCACAACACACAAACACACACTCACACACACACACGCACAACACACAAACACTCACTCACTCACTCACACACACACACACTCTGGTGTAACTGACCGTCGGCAGTGGCATGCAGCAGCATGAGCGTCTGCTCTCTGAAACTCTGTGGATTCTGCAGCATACTGGAGAACTAGAGACACACAGTCTGTCACTAACATCTCAAACACATTCCAGCAGAGTCTGAGCCCAATACAACTAACCATCACCAACCTGATATCTGCTGTCGTCCTGAAGAGGGAAACCCAGATAGCGCTCGGAGAAGGCCGAGGCTGAGAGAGAAAGAGAGGTCAGATTCACTCACAGAACAGCAGAATCATGGGTCTGAAACTGCTCTGCGGTTCTAGATACACATCAGTGTGAAGCCTCACATAATCACAATCACACCAGTAACTTACCGTACAGACTCCAGTCTGTCACAGGCGACATGGCTGCTGCGCATTTAAACACGTTCTCCGTGGATTTAATCAGCAGGAGTGCGACATATCCTCCATAACCCTGCAGAACAACACAAACACACAGGTTTATATACCTGACGGTTTTCATCAGTGTTTCTTCCGTTACAGCAGCCGAGTGTGAGATTGAGTCTTACCCGGCCAAACACACCAATCCGGGTTCGATCGATGTACGGCAATTTCAGCAGGTACCTGGAAGAAAAGCACGACTCCGTTAGCATGTTTCACAACCGTGTGTGTGTAGATCACCCAAACAGAGCATGAGAGTGACAGAAGTGTCATTTCTGAGCAAATGATAGAAGGAAAAAAGCAGGTAAAGGTTCTTACTCAACGGCAGCCAGCTGATCCTGCAGCTCCACGGATCCCAGACGCCTGTGCACTTCCTGTAACACCTTCTGACCCTGGAAGCCACTTCCCCTGCCGTCCAGACGAGCTACGATGACATTATCTGAACTGACCAGCACTGAGTCCCAGTCCAGTGAGTAACGGTCATTCACCTGCTGACCACCGGGGGCAGTGTCACTGATAAACACAGAGAAAACCCTGATAAACACTGAGTCCTGGTCCAGGACTGCTCTTTCACCTGCTGACCAGCATCACTGACACACAGACGAAACACATCAGCGTATCATCACTTCCTTCTTCTAGCCTTCATGATCTACCTCTGATATGAAATAATGTGCCTCTCCTGGATCTGGTCAAGTGTGTTTACAGCACCTTTCAAATTCAGACTGAGAAACGTGTGTGACACCATTTCTACTCACAAAGAGTCGTTCTGTGGACATTTCACTTCACAAATCCTCCTTATCTGCACATAACAGGGTTTTAAATCAAAACTACTCAAACACTCCATGAACTAATGCAAACGACAGATCTAACAGTACCAGACGAACAAAACCTCTATCCACTGTAAGTAAAGCATAGAGGTATTTGTGAAAGTAGTCCACAAACATTTCCAAAAAACATGACATCATGGCAGAATTCAAAGATACTTCTTTTTGCTACTGACATTTTTTTTTAGGGCAAACAACCAATCAAAATCGTTGCATCACTGCTGTATAGCAGCATCTGTTATTTATTCTAAAAGACCCAAACAATCAGAGTCTCAGTGTACCGTTCAGCTGATTCAGTGGAGGAAATCAAAGACAGAAATACTGCAGGTGCTCCTGGAAATGTCTATGAAACGTTCAGTTGCTTTATTTCAAGCTTATAAATGGTGTGACATGCAGAGAATGAGTAAAGGTCAGGACGCGGTGAAGGAGATTCTGACTTCAGTGATCCTGATGAAGGACAATGTCTGCTTGAGACCGAGTCCTTCACTGACTTTTATGTTCGAGCAAAACAGAGCAATTTTGTAATGCTCCAGTCATATGGTGTATTTCTCTCAGGCCTCCAAAAAATATATAACAAATCTGAAAACCAGCAACATATTAATGTGAACATCAGACTGCAAATTAACACTTTGAACTGCTGTCTTTCTAACTACAAACTCCCTCCATCTTTAACAGACCTGAACACAAACATACACTCACACACACACACACACACACACACACACACACACAAACACACACACAGATCTTACATCATCAGCAGAAGGGCATAAGTGCGGGACTCAGAGAAATCGGGTGGATAGGCGATCTTCAGCGGCAATTCTGAAAAAACACATGGAGAGCAGACCAAAGATCTATCAAATATCTTCAAGGGCATTAAAGTCTGTTTCAGTGCAGGAGATCCAGCACTAACTAAGCGTGTTTATTGGGTGAACGGAGCAGTACTTTACCGAAGTGGTCCATCTGGATGCTTCTGTACTCCAGCAGCTGGATGCGTTTGTATCTGAGAGCAGCTCTCAGCACAGAGTTATTCTCCAGGATATAATAATCTGACGAGATATCAACACATCAAGACATGACTTGAGTTTTTAACGCAGAACACGGCGGACAGACGTACAAAAGAATTAATGAAAATAATGACTCACTGGCCGTGTTCAGAGTGTGTATGATCTCTGTCGGCGCTCCTGGACCTGCAGGAAAACCAAACACTTCAACCACAACCTGTGCTAGTTTGACGAGGGGTGAAAGGTCACTTGTCAGGTCTGTGAGAGTACATAATAAACAGTCTTCATACCTTTGCAGTGCAGCAGGACGTGTTGATTAGTGGGGCTGAAATCAGCACTGAAGAACGTGCAGTGAGCTTTATTGAGCTCACAGGTCAGACACCGGCGTGGAAACAGGCCCACTGTGGACACACTGCACACAGAACGGACCAATCAGAGGCCTGCTTTCCTGCTGATCTCACCTTACTATTACAGTTTTTCTCGATTGCTAACACACTATAAATGATTTATTTGGCCCAATTTTCCAAACCATTCATACAGTTCTCGAAACAAAGACATGTTTCTCAAAACCTTTAACACATTTCACCTGTTTGCACACACGTTCCAATTTGCTCAGTGTTTTCTGCAAAACTCTACACAAAAATGCCATCATTTGGCACAGGTTTAACCATGTTCTCACTTAGAAAACACAAACACACAATGTAATTAATTCAAGCATCAACAAATCAACTCAAACAGCACACATTTATCCCTGTGTGAACATTCAGCAGCAAAACTGATGACACACAGGTCAGAATCTCAGGCTGATATGAACAAGAGCACAGCTGATTATGAGTTTTGGAAAATGAATCCTAATAGTGGGAGACAAAGAGGAAGAGGAGGGTAAAATACAAATGAAGGGAATGGGGTCAAAGGTCATTTGTTCCTGATGAAATACACAGCACTATAGTTGAGCATGTTCTTCTGCATGCACTGACCCTGAGGGAAGTTAGCCTACAGCTCATCTACAGGGCTTCAGTACTACTTACACAATACACATACAATATAATTACAGTACATAGCAGCAGTACTTCAAATGAGAGAGCTGACATTATTCTATGTACAGTAAATACTCTAGCACATGTTATACAGCCTCAAACTCATTACTGTTGGATTTATTTGTAGCCAAGTATGTACTGTATTTGTGCAGAACTGAGAGACGACTGTCTAGGGGAAGTAGAGAAGTCTTTTGTCAGAAGACTAAGAAACTGCTATAACAAATAATGATACTACCAACAGCCCACAGTAATGCAATTTGGCAGATTTATTTATTTCTGTAAAGTAACTAACAGCAGGGGCGCCTGCAGGATTTCTTCCGAGGGTACGCACAGATGGGGGGGGGGGGGGGATACATATATCAAGAGCATGCTCACAGATGAAAACGACAAATAAGAAAACAGCGTTGGATGAAGTGGATTAGAGTCCAGCACGGCCCTCAAATAGGCCCAAGCCCATCTTTTTTCCCCTTCTCCCAAAACAGCTTATACTACTATTAAAATAGTTCAGTTTTGTATGTAAAGGAAGAGTGATTATATTTCGTTTTTTTAATAAAGTTAATTTAGAAAAATGTTTGGAGCATTTTTTGTTCGCTAAATATAAGTTTTTGTTTTTTAAAGTAACGACCAAGCACCCAGCGGCAGACAATGATTTGATCATAGCCTATGTTTGGTCATAGCCTTCTCAAATCATCACGACTTGCCTAAAATAAAATCTATAGATATAAAACAGTTCAAGCAGACGCATATCCAATAGTTAGGGTTAGGTTAGTGTGCGGAGAGTGGAAGCTGAAGCTCTGCAGCACATGGAGGCGCCAGCGCTGTCACTCGCATTTCTTTCTAACAGTGGAAACAACTTGAAATACTCAGTCATTTTTGCTCATAAAGGTAAAAGAAATACATCATTCTAAACTGTAAAGGGTCTAGTTTTATTTGTGTGCACTCACAATATCAACAAAATGTTGTGCTTTTATAAAATAGAGAAAACAAACGCTTTCTGCCATCTCGGTCTTGAACGGGGCGCTTCACAATGATGAACCTAAACTCAGCGAATTGCTTCTCAGACATGATAAAAACATATGGAAAGCTTTAAATTACTACTTTAAAATTAAATAATTCTAATCAAAAATAGAAACTCTTTCATTATGTAATCCCTAAAGATGCATTTCTCTCTAAAGGCACATCCAATGAGGAGACGGCGAGTCATTTTCTTTCATCACCATAATTGATGGATGTCTAAAATATAAAAATAAGGAAAAGCCTAAAACAAGCCCGATTATAATTAGCGTTTTATTTTATAATTCTGTACAATTAAAAATAAAACAAATGATGCGGAGAGGAGAGGAGGTGGAGGAGGAGGAGGAGGGAGAGAAAGAGGACATGGTGAATGAGGATGAGGAGGAGGGGGGAGAAGAAGGGCAAGGAGACAAGCAGTCTCAGATGAAATTCGAGCCACTTTCCATGTCCATGGTATGATTATGAGGGAGACTGGGCAACGAGTACAGCCAAATTTGAGTCGCTTCACCGTTGCCTCCATCATCAGAACCTTCAGGGAGGAAAACAGGTAGGTGTACTTACAGTAAGACTGCTCTGTACAGTAACTTTAGAGTGCATACAATGTTGCACTATGCTACTGTAATAAAGAAATGCATCAAATTGCCTTGCATACAGATAGAGTTTCAGTATGTTTCCATTTTTCCTGTAAAAAGGATGTGTGACAGTTACAGTAACGAGTGTTTCTATTTTTGTAGGACACAGAGACGACCACCTGGTGGAGGCAGGCTAAGGCTTTTGTCGGAGGAGCAAGAGAGGGAGCTTGTAAACATGGTCATTGCCAATAATGTAATCCACCTGCAAGAGATTCAAAGGAGAGTGACTGAGGATAATCATCATTTTCGAGGGATAAATGCCATCAGCCTCTCCACAATTGAT